CCCTTAGCATCTCCTAAGCCTGAATCAATCTCCGACATTGGCAATCCAGGAAACTATATACAGACGTATCTCCTCCAAACGGTACAAAACACTTAAATTTCTAGTTTCTGACCCTGATTTGAAGGCATTTCGCTTTGCATTTCCAATTTGGGATTCGCTTTATTGTTACTTTAGTTTGTACGAGATAAATGCGTCCATTCAGCATCTTGTTTTGGTGTATAGACGTGATTCTTGATCAAATTTTCATATCTTGTTAGACTCAGTACGTATGAAACAAACAAATAACTTTATGGTCAGTCTGCCTGCACGATTTTTGTTCATTCTTTGTAACAAAATGACTCACTTGCTCATTCGTTTTATTCTTCACAACTCGTGAATAAAAATCGCACGCTCTCACTTACCATAAAGTTATCTATGTGCCGGTATGCACTTTTGCCAGTGGTCAAGCGATGAACCCTATGCGAACAGTTTCTTTGTGAAAAACTTTGCATGTTCAGGGCCTCATACGTCACTAACTTTGCAATGCCGAGTTATTTTGAGACTTTGTATTTATGCATTTATCTACATATTCATTGATGTTTCTTTGTTAAGATAAGAAATATGTTCATATTTAACAACAATTCGCTCAAGGCTCAGTTAATATTTATGTATATGCTATTCACCAGCTGGGAGGTCCTTAACCTTATTGGGAAAAATTGTGTCCGAGGTCTTGGATACCGAAAGAACCCATATCATTAGTAAGAGTATCTGAACTGAGTGGAGTGCAATTTGTTTAGGTAATCACATGATTCCGAGTGCAGTTTGGAATAAATATGCACGAGTGAATTTTTTTCAAAGACTAACAAAATTGCAGGAGCCCGAGGGGCGAGTGCAATTTGTGGTCTTTTACTCCAAGTTGGACGAGAAAAATTATGTGATTATCTATTAGTGATATAAACGAAAAAATACGAGGTAGCTTATTATAATTATGCAGAAGAAAAGCGCGCGCATCACGTGCAAACATAATTTATTCAAACCCTAGAAGTGACATTGCCCTTGACATTGACCGATCATTCTGACCAGTCAGAATGTCTAGTTTGTTACTTTCTTTGCACTGAATTAACCCTCTTCTGCACTGAATTAACTCTCTTCTGCACTGAATTGCCTTAAAACTGCAGATATCTTAACCAATCAGAACTGAGTAATTTTTTCATGTATATTATTAGGT